TTTTCCAACCCCATTGAAAAAACTTTTCATTTTTTTTTTTTTTTTTTTTTTTTTTTTTGAAAAAAAAGATCACAAAATGAGTTAAAGAATGGGTGTTTTTTATCGAGCAAAAAAGTTTTGAAAAAAAAGATTGTTTTAAAAAAATTTCAGAGTTTTTTTTCGTAAAAAAAAGAAGAGTATTTATAATTGTATTGTTTTGTTTTGTTTTTGATGATTATCGTCGTGAATTAGCTTTTCGATATAAAACAATATAGGCAATAATTCTTGCGATAATTGCATAGCTACCTAATAGGCACATTAAAAATGGTAAATCCTTTTCATTTAAACGAAAATTCTGTAATATTAATGATGGATTTTGATTTTCCGATGCCGATAAAATTCGTTCTAAACGATCAGTTAATGATGGTCCACTTGATGAATCAAAAAAATTGGTATTTTGCCAAACACAATCCATCATTTCTTCAGCATCATCACCCATTAATTCACGTACACGTTTTAGATCGAATGGTTCCGGTTCTGGACAACGATTAAATCCATAAAATGTAATCACTGTTGATTCGAAAAACAATCGATAAAAGCTTAAATATGTAAGTGGCTGTATGATACGTGGTAATTGATCGATTTGTACCAAAAATCCAGTAAATAATAATAATGGTATTTGTGATGTTGCAGCAAATATACTGGCAGCATTTACATTATGAACGAAAATGGCCGATATTGTTAAACCTATAGACAAAAAGGATGGAAACAAAATTAAATGAAAAATCTTTTTACAAAAAAGGAAATAAATATTTTTTTAGTCGAAAAATTCATGATCAAATCATAAAGATAATTATTATAATCATCATATAATTTAAGGGAATCTTTTTTCCTCGAATGCAAATTGGATGCAAAAAAAACACGGTAAAATTATCAACAGGTTGATAATGATGATGATTCTTAATTATTAAACTGGTCAAAAATTAAAATTTTTGCCAATTAACCAAATAATTATGAAAACAAACAAAGAAAACAAGAAAATATCCTTCAAAATGTAAAAAGAAATATATTTTTTCATTTGGTTAATTTTGACATTGTTTATCTGTTTATTAGATATGAATGATTAATTATAATTATGATAATTTGCTGTTTCATTTTCTTCATTCTATAGTAACAAATGTTTGAAATGTTGGTTTTTTTTTGCTTACGTTGTTGGAAATGTACATTTTCAACAAAAGTCATATGATGATGTTGATGATAATGGCCATGACAATCATCATCATGATCATACGAAGTAACGAAGGATATCGTTATCGATACCATTCATTTATCATTATGATGAATGATAATATAATAAAATACTATTTTGTTTTATAAAAAAGATTCGATTCTATTTCTACCTTATTTATCATTTGTATTGCTCATTGACATTTCCTGTTTGTCATTCAATTTTCAAAAGCATATTTTTCTTTGTGAAAAATAAACAAATAATGAATACAAACAATAACAACAAATCAAAATCGAACAAAAATTTTCCACCCGAAAATGTGTAATTCAATTGATCATTCATGGAAAAAAAAATAAAGATCATTCCATTTGATATGATCAGTCAATCAAACAAAATAGATCAATAAAGAAATGAATGGTGAATTATATTTCTAAACGGTTTATGATCGATTGAATTCAATTTGTACAATTATTCAATACAATGTTATAAAAAAAATTGATATTTTTTCTATGACAAAGTTTACTGGACAAATAGGTTTTTCTCTCATGTTAAACTATTCATTTTTTTCAAGTGAAATATACCTTCGAAAAAGACAAAACAAAACCTTGGATGTTTAATGTAAATCATTGTTTATCATTTTCTGTGTAAACAATTGTCTATCATCCGCTTATATATCAAACTTGTGTCAACTATTTTACGGTTTGTTAGTTTATGAATGAAAATGAATATAGAATAAAAGAAACAAAAAAAAATTTAACACTTACCAATACCATCGGCAACCAATGAAATCATTACCACTAATGCAATAAAATATAAAAATCTCCATGTTTCAAAATATTGATTCGTAATCATATATGTTGTTGATCCATAAAGTATTGGCAATAATATTGTTGGTAAAAGATTGGTTAAATTTTTAGCCAAAAAATAAGAACTAAATGAATACCATCCATTGAAATATTCTTTGTAGAAAACTCCCACTTCTAATGGAAATGTTAAAATTGTTGGCATCATTGACAAAAATGAACAAAATGTCATTGCAAAAAATATATAACCAAAATTCAATATTGCCAATGCACCGGGTCCTTCCAATAATGAATTGGCTAATGAAAATGTTTGATTTCCATCATAATCCGAACGAATCGTATTAACCATATGCATAATTGTATCTTGTGAACAGCCATCAGCTTGTCCCATTTTACTATCATTATAAAGTACAATGTTGAGCAATATGATTGATACAGTTGCGAATATACGTAATAAATATTCGGTTGGATCACGAAATGATAACAACATACAACGCATCCATAATAACATTGTTTTATAGAATTCACGGCGTTTAACTTGCTTTCTTGATCTATTTTTAGAAATTTGATTTTGTTAAATCAAGTTTAGATCAATTGAATTACTACTCACCTTTGACATATTTTATTAATCGAAACGGTAACAGCATTTTCTGGCCACAATCGAACATCATCAGATATTGAAGCACGCTTACTATTTATCATTGCTATTTCAATATTATTATCATCACTAACATCATCAACATTCACAACTGTTGAATCTTTTGTTTTTAAATTAGAATCCATTGTTAATGATCCATTTATTGTTGTTTCAGTAGGAAATTTAATCTTTAAACATCCTTTCTGATGTTGTATATTTTGATCATTAATTAATTGTTTAATTACATCATGACCATAATCGCCTGATGCCACTTCCAGAACAAAATCGGCAGGATTGTGATAAGTTGGACAAGATAATTTATATCGACTTAAATATGATACCAATTGATTCGTTGGTCCATCATACATACATTGACCATTAAAGGCCAATACATAAAGGCGATCAAAATTTTGTAAAATTCTTGCAGTCGGTTGATGAATAGATGCAGCAATAGCCATTGGCTGTTCAGCATTATGTGCCAATTCACGTAATAAACTAACACATTGTAAACAGGAAACAGAATCAAGGCCACTAGTTGGTTCATCCAAAATCAATATTGTTGGTGAATGAATCAATTCAAGTGCGATACATAATCGTTTCTGTTGACCACCACTACAATTTTCGGCTTTAACATTGCGACATTGATCAAGACCAAGTTTTTGTAAGATTTGATTGACCAGATTACGATGATAAGTACCATCGGGTAAGCTATTAATATAAATGGTAATAAAAAGAACAAAGATTAGAAAATTTGTTGGTAAAATAGGAATAAAAACTAAATAACCATGCAAAGCCTGTTCCTCTTCCACAGCAGCCAGAATCATCAAAGAAATCATCATTATCATTAAAGGAAGCAGTAATATTGGTAGCAATATTTTTTGTATGAGAATCGACAGACCTTATAACCAAATCAGAATCAGGAAGTGTCGTTGCATTATAAACATTTTCATTATCATCGACTAATTTAACTCTACAGCGATTATTTCGTTGATAATTACGAAGTTTTGATGCAAACAATAATGTTTCATAAACGGTTAGGCAAGGCATAAAGGCATCCTCTTGAGCCATGTATGCTAATTTAGTACGTTTAGTACAATTAGCAACAACAATATCACCGGAAACACCACGACGACGACGTCCACTAATGCATTCAATCATTGTTGTTTTACCGGCACCACTTGGTCCCATAATGGCCATTAATTCGCCGGCACGCATTGAACCGCTTATTGAATTCAAAAGAGTTTTATGTTTATAGCCACGGCCTTTTTCTTTCAAAAATGTTTTCCATTGAAAACGTGATATTGTATAAGAAAGATTACGCCATATTAATTCAACATTATCTTTGGTTGATTGTTGTTTTGATCGATGAATAATTGGATCATTATTATTATTTTTTGATGATTCAAAATCGGTTGACATTACATTATTATTATTTTTTTCAAAAATCCAATCATTTGATTTATTTGATAATGGTGGCTGCGATGAATATAATCGCCCATTTTGTCTAGATGATGATTCAACAATTTTTGGTTGTTCACATTTATCAATTAATGATTGATTTTCATCGTCATGATGATGATGATGATGATTAGAATCAATTGTTTGGTCCAAATATCTATGATTATTATTGGATTTATTTTTATGATTTAAATTATTAATGTTGGAATTTGGAAATGTTTCCAAATATCTAGGTGGTGGTGGTGGCGGTGATGATGATGAAAGTATCGATCCAACACCACTACTTGATTCACCATCACCAACACTGATGTAGCCACCGTAAACACCACCACCACTACTAATGTCAATATCATTTGTTGATTTCATTATTACCGGTGACAATGATGATGATGAAGATGATGAATGTGGAGGTGGTGGTGTAGATGTTGTTGCTGCTGTTACAGTTGTTGGCGATGGTGACGGTGATGATGATTGTCTATCAGCATCCGGTGATGGTATGATATTATTGTTATCAGTGGATTTTCCAAAAAGAAACATGTCTCTTTTTGAATTTGAAGATGACATTATTTTTGTTTCAGTATAGTCTCTTTTTTTCTGAATTCAAAAAACCAAAATTTCTCATATATATTATTTTCTATTTCCTAGTCGTTTTTTTAAACTTTTGGTTCAACGAAAGAAAATGAAAATGATTAATTATAATTGTTTATATAAAAATTGCGATATAAACATTCATATATGTTCATTAAATGGATAACGAGAGAGAAATGTATGGAGAAAAAACTGATGGACAGGCCAATGGTAATTGATGTGAAATTTTTTATTTTAATTATGAGGCACGAAGATTGATAGATTGATATCCACAACAGAAAAATCTACAAACATACACACACAAAAAAAAGTGAAAGATAAAGACAAAATTGTCATTGGATTTTATAATGATCAAAATGAATGAAAATCATTTGCTGTTGATAATAAAAACGACAAAAGATGATTTTTAAAGTTTGTTCATGAAACAAATGAACAATAGCTTCTTGAATGAGATATCAGGATAATCGATCGGATGTATATGAACCTGGATTTTAATAATTTAAAAAAAATGATAAAAAAATATGAATTATTTTTTTGAGAAAAATAAAATATATAACAAGAAAAAAATTGTACGGAAATTACTTTGAAAAAGTAGTGTTCTTGTAAACAAAACAAACAAAAAAAAACACACACACACACAAAAATAAAATTTATATTTCCTGTTGCTAAATATTATCACTTGTAAAATTAGTTTAATTTTGGATTATTTTTTGTGCTGTAAAATAGTGTTTACAAGTGAAGTTTATTGATGATGGTGATGATGATGATAAGAGAAACAGGACAGATAAAATAAAGATACGACGAAAGTGAAAGAGAACGAAAAAGCGACAAACGAATGAATGTCCAAATTTTTTTTTCAAAACGAATATAAAATAATTTATATTATTTCAACCAATTCGATTTTCCCTTGAAACATGCCGAAATGGTTTGTTTTATATTCGACAAAAAATTGTATTGAATCATCCTTCATTTATATATGGATGATCATCGTAATTTGTGTGTGTGTGAACATCGAAAAAAAAGATGAAGAAATCAAGATATGCTGAACACCACCAATACCAACACCAATATATTAAAACGATTTGAAGAATATCATCAATCAACCTCGTTGTTGATAATGAATATTTTCAAAAAAAAAAAAATAAGACGAAGAGGGTTCTTTTTTCTCTCTCTTTCTCTCCAACAAGAAGAAAAAATAAAATCATCAAAAAAAAAAAAAAAAAAAAAATCAATGCTTGTAATCATCAACCGGTCGTTTTTATGGTTTTTTTTCTCTTCATGATTTCGATGCTTATACCACCACTTGTATGATTATCATTCAGTAAACAAATGAATGAATGAATGAATGNTTTCTAATGCTTTTGTTTTTGTTACTCCCCTTTTTTTTTTCCCAAAAAAAAAAAAAAAAAAAAAAAAAAAAAAAAAAAAAAAATAATCAATGCTTGTAATCATCAACCGGTCGTTTATATGGTTTTTTTTCTCTTCATGATTTCGATGCTTATACCACCACTTGTATGATTATCATTCAGTAAACAAATGAATGAATGAATGAATGAATGGATTCATTGAAAAGGTATGTGACGTATATGCAGATAAATACATGAACAACAAAAAAGTGAATAATAAGTGATTGAATTCAAACAACTTTGACAATCTTCAAATTTATTTGTGTGTGTGGTTACCTAGATGCTACGCTGATGATGATGATGATTGTTCACCGCTAGTAACTACCACTTTTTTTCTGATATTCATATTTTCAAATATGAATATGACGGCAGAGAAAATTTTGAAAACAAAATCGAATATTCCTAAATTGATGCCAATATTGATAGCTGATGATTTTTTATTTGATCAAATAAAATTGTTAGTAAAAATAAACATTTAGATTTTATTCTGATCATCTTTTTGTTTCTATGATATCGCCATTGAATTTTGGATTGTTTTTTTTTCATTTCACTTTTGAATGGATAAAATTCCTTGCAAATGATACACATATATTGAAATGTTTGTTGTGTTCAATAATAATCAATATCGATAATCGTTGTCAACCATACCTGGATAATTGGAAAAAATTATACTAAAAGTGTGAAGATACCATTGAAACAATAATCGATCGATATGGTTGAAGAAAAAAAAAGAAATTCGTCAATTGTCATGTTTTCTTTGTACATCGAAATTTGTCAACATCGAATATCAATGGAAAAATCAGTTTTTTTCCTTGAGAACAAAAAAAAATGATGACAATAATAATCATCACAAGGAAAAATCTTTTTTGTTCATCCTTTTTCTAACAGTAAACATCAATGATTATGATATGATTGATCTACATGAAATGATATGATTTGAATTTGTTTATCAAGTTCACATATGTATCCTCCATATCAATCATATCATTATCGAAGACGAAAAGGTTTTTTTCATGATCAAAAAAAAAAAAAAAAAATTAAATGCTTAGATATTGTATGTATGTTTCAAACGATATCGATTAATCGGTTTTTTTTCGGTTATATTCTGATAAAATTATCAAATTGACAAATCAACTATAATGACCATCCTTGACTGATCATTCGTTTGATTGATGAATGATTTGAATGTCAATAAATGGATAGTGATTGTTTTTTTTGCAAATTTCTGTGTTAGTATATCAAAGATTTGAATGGGTGATAACATTGATTGATTTGGGTTTTTATACTTTTTTTTGTTGTTGTTCACCCATCAATATGTAATCCCAAATAAATCAGTCAGTCAGTCAATCAGTCACAAGTTTGTTTGAAAAAAAATATGATATGATCCTATATTTTCAATATAAAAATCATATCAATTTCATTCAAATACAAATAAACATTTTTAAAAAAATACATTTGATGAATTGAAAAACAATAATTATGGTTTCACATCAAATGATTGAAAGAATTGAATGGTTCAAAGTTTAAAGTATCATTTCGTAATTGAATTTTGAAATTTTATTAAATAAATTTTTATCCAACAGACCAATTAGGAAGAAAACACAATAAAAATTGATTGGTTTTTTTTACTTTGAATTATGTGTCGCCAAATTATTTTTTGTTGTTGTTGTTGTCCTAATGACAACATTGTGTTTATTTTATTATTGAGATAAAATAAGAATGAAATATTCCATTCAAGTACAATGTTAATGGATAGAAACCAGATATATTACGCAATGGAAACAAAAATTGAATTGAATGTAACGTTTACTTTTTTTTGTTTCTGTTCTTTTCAACGAATCAATCAATTGATCATTCAATTTTAATTCAATTGATTGATTGATCAATCGATTAGCCAGTTCAAATTAATCAAATGATGGCCAAACATAATACAAAAAAAAAAGAAAAGCTGGTTTTTTCCTATTAATGATATGGATAGAAATGATTTTTAGGAATGACATGTTTCATAAGAAAATTCAATAATCATTGAATCATCATTATTATTATGGCCACGATTCAAGGACAATTTTGAAACAAAAAAATTTTCAAAATTCATCCCACCCCTTTTTTTACATCCTGACTCACCTTACTTCAACAATCAAATGGGAAAGATTTTTGAATATTTTCTAAATTTCCATTTGTTCGATATAAATAAAGTATTTAGATTTGTTGTATTTAACGATAAATATTTGTTCAATTTTAGCTTTTGTTTTCCTTAAAGAAATTGCTGAATTATCTTGAAAACATTAGAATTCAATTGACAATTTAATTTTTAAAGTTTTGCTTTGTTTTCTTTTGTAGAATTCAACTGAAAAAAAAACAGTCAGGTAATTGAAACTAACAAAGCAAAAACGAAGAAATTGATAACAACAACAGCATCTATTATCGATGGCATCCATCATCATCATTATCATGATAGTGATAATGGTTTCTATTGAAACAATGAATCATTACATTGAATACAATCTTGTTTGAATATACAAAATAATGTTGTATAGTGTGTATACAAAACACTTTTAATTTCACTTTAGGCCAAATACAAATGTGAAACACACACACACAAATGATAAGTATTATTTATCTCTATTTCTATCTGCAATTGAAAAACTTGAATTCAAGATTTCTTCTTTTTTTTGGCTAGAAAAATCTCAACTAGAATTTCATTTTGAATACGAAACACAATGAATAATCTACCATTTTTTTTATTTATTATTATGTTGTATTACATTTTGTTATTACAGGTTGTTTAACATAATCATTTTTTTGTGTATTTATTGAGCATACAACAAAAAAAAAGAGATATTCATTATTCATTCATTAATTCTTTGTTTGTTTGTTTGTTTGTCAAATTTTTCATTTGTTTTGTTTTGTCTAAGTCGAATACCTGGAATAAAGTATTGGTTAGTAATAAATGAATGATGATAGTTTTTATTTTTGGAGAAATATTCATGAATAATTTATTTCTTCAATTTTATCGAAAAATAAAATTTATGAGAGAAATTTTATGCGAATATTGTACGGGAAAAAAATGTCCATTTTTGATGTTTTTTTTTGTTGTTGTTGTTGATAGAATAATATGGATAAACATCAGATTCAAAGCTAACTTGTGACCAGAAATTTCTATTTTGGAATGTTTTAAAGTTTGAAAATTAATAATAAAAAAAAATTTCCTCATTTTTATCAGAATTTATTGTGTGATAAAATTTTTTTTCTTAATATCATAATTCTCAATATATGATTGATTGTCCATTCAATCAATACCTTTTTCATTCAGTTACAAATTGAATTTGGAAGAGAAAAAAAATGAAAGAATTTTTTCACACCTAATTGAATGATGGGTGTATTACCATCCAATATGATCGTAATAAAATTTTATGTTTTGTTTCTATCAAAAAAAAAACATTAATAATTTTCAATGTCATATGCAATATGTGTATTGAAAATATTTCATTCGTTTCTCTCTCTCTTTCTTTCTTTCTGTTATCAATTTGATTTCATGTTTGCAGATAATGTCATCATTGAAAATAATCTAGACAAATGAAAAAAAAATCTAGTTTAAATCATTTGATTATATTAATTAAAATAATGGCT